CCCGGAGTGCCCTGTGGCGGGAGGTGCTCATATCAAGTACTGTGGCCGCTGCCGCCTTGTCTGCCCTGCTGGGCGGCTTCCTCAACGGGCTCTTGGGGCGTAGAGTGTGCATTCTGCTGGCCAGCTTCTTCTTCACCGTCGGCGGAATCGTACTTAGCACCGCCCCCGGCAAAGAGGTTCTTCTGACTGGGAGGCTCATTGTCGGAGTGGGGCTTGGTAAGACGGCTTCTACATCCTCTCTGTCCCTTCAGTCTGAACTATTACATGCTTGTTTGAGAATTTTTTCCATTAGGTTTCCGGAGCTCATCTTGTTTTTGCAAAAGCAAGTAAAAAAAGACTAGGCACCGAAATTAGTCTTACATTACATTTTAAAACTTAAATAGGCTATATTAAGTCAGTGACTGACCAAAAACAAAATTGTTCTTCATTGTGAAATTATTTAACGCCACTGGCAGCATGATACTTTATTAATTTTTGCTTTAACATGTCCCCAGCCCTTAATAGTTAAGAGGTTAGAATCATCTTAAGTGTCTGCTAGGTTCATAGGTTTTAAAGCCTACTTTTGAACTTAGTTATTTATTGGTTTGTTGCTGTCTTTCCTCTCTCTGCCTTTCCCTGCCTCAGGCCTGGTATTTGCACCTGGGATTTACTCACAGAGACTACAGCATGATGCTATGTTTGCTCAAGCTGCATGCTGCTGCCTGTTATACAACTTGTTGTCTTTATTATTGTCTTAACTCTGAGATTTATTAGATTTGGTTGGTTACCATTAGTGATAAAGTGAAAACCCCTCCTGAATGATTATTGATATTCTCTCAGGATGGCCAAAAGGAAGTGAAGATAATCCAACAAATCACACAGGAGACTTTTAGTGTCAGTAAGGTTGCCTTTATTAGACACTAATGTCTGAGTTAAATTTATCAGATCGCCCCTCCCACCCCACATACACCTTCATACATTACCATTACCACCGTACATTGCATACCATTCATATTTGGAATATTGCTGCTATCTTCTCTCTTGAATCACCCCCTAATTCTGCATATCCTTCTCTCTGCTCTGTGCATGCAATGTGCCTTTTGATCTGATTCAGTGTACCCCAAATTATTTAGTGGCTTCTGTTATTCATGAGTCACATCCTGTATAGAAAGGCCTGATAGAATTGGCTTTCAGGCTGAGTGCCACTTTGATGGCACTGGTCCGATGCTCACTTTGAGAGTTACAAGTGCTCTCTTCATTGATACAGTATGTGGAGGAATTTCAGACCATTTAACCACTGGGATGGGAGAGGAAGTTTCATTCTTTAGTAAACATCCCAGCCCAAAGAGAACAGTTTTGTGTTTACTTCCTTTACAAACTAAAGCCTTTGATGTTTGAAACCAGATTAGCCTTCAGACCCCTTTTAGGACCATTTCAAATGCTTCTTGTGATACAGCTTGGATTTTTTTGTGTGATATATATCCTACTATATAAAAAACTCTACCATACATAGAAGTTTGATTACATGACATCAGAAATTTGCATTTGATGAATACTCTTTGGTTAATTTTCAATAACGTGGGAATGTGGGAGGGTATTACTGCTGGATAAATGGCTTAGAAAAGTATGAGAGACAATGATTTTTTAAGGAGAATATAAGAAATACCTCTGTTTCCATCTAATTAACATTTAAGTTGTTGGATGCAGTGTGATTTGGGTTTGGGTTTTTTTTGGATTTGAAAGACACCCAAATAAGATCTGGAAAATAGGATCTGGACATGTAACATTTGTTATGAATTTTAGCATCATTTTCCTGTGGGGTCAGGTGGTTGACAGGAAGTGCTGATATGAAAACCCTCATAGCTCTCTTTTATTTCATTTACCCTGTACTGTAACATGGCTCATGTGAACATGTTTGCCTGAGACTTTAACACTTCTAAACTCTAGCAATTTTAGTTAAGCATTTAACCTCTTCTTACATCTAAAATCAATTCTTATTACAAAGCTAACTCTTCAATAAACTTGTAACCTTAGCAGTGTATTTCCTGCATACTCTAATGAGACATAACTTCATCAAACAACTCATTCACTCAAATTACTAACATCTCACATCCTAGCAGTAATTAACTATAGTGAACAAATTAACTATATGAAATGACACATAACTTCCTATTCATAACAGATTACAAATAAACAGACATGAACATAAAAATGAACGACAAACATGAAATGACAACAAACAATGGTGATTCTATTCCCCTTGTAAGATAAAAACACAGTTTTCAGTATTCACAAGTGTCTGTACGCTAAAACAAACAGCTTCAATGCACATCATTACAATTCTTTCTTCACCAGGCAAAAACCCGAAGGGCAAAATTCCTGAACAACCCCCAGGGTCCCCAGAGACGTAAAGACCCCAATGGTGACGAATGCTGGGGAAAATCGTCTCTAGACCCTTTTTGGGCGATCACCAATAAGGCCTGCAGTGAACCGATTATAAAAAAAACAGACAGTAAAAATCCTAAAACTGATGTACTAGCATCTACATCAAGATATTACTAGATCTGAATAAAATAACATCTAATTTAATTGAGTTCTGACAACTAACCAAAAGTGCAAACGACAGTAAAGTTTACCTTATACCCAGGTTACCTCCTGAAGAGAGTCCACCTGTATTAAATTTACTCATGATTTAAAGTATAAAATGATCAGAAATAACCACTGCATGTGTCTACACATCACATTACATTCAAAACACAGAGGTACTGTACTATATGTTCCCTTGAATTGCTTTCCCTTCGCCCTGTACACACACTAATGTGGTTGTCATAATATTGTCCTTTTATCCCATAGCACATTGTGAAAATGAAAATCTAGACAACAACTATTACATCCTTGCCAGAATCTCTTGATGAACTACAGGGTCTAGAGCTGAAACAATCACTTAACTAATCAATTGTGCAATCGACAAAAAATTAATCCACAACACCACTTTTTGCTATCTAATCATGTTTTAGCCTATAGTCTATATTCAGACCAATACACCATTGCCTCGGCTTTTACGCACCCCCCTGGGCTGTGCGTATAGCAGTGGGGGATGACGACAGCAGGCACTGAAGATGGAGGGGGTTGGCTGGCTCGACAGGAGTCACAAGCACAGGCACCTTTTTCTTCCCCTTTTTTTCAGCCGGGGAAGGAAGCATCCCTTCACGTTGGTGTGACATTGGATGTACAGAATGGGGGAGTTTGGGTGTAGCTCCCCCTCGGTCATAACTCACCTCAGCTTCTTGGCGGTGGTCTGGGGATGGACACCAGATGGAGCAGAGCAGAGCACCTCCCCTTTTGCCACCTCACTGCGCTCATGGTCTTTATTTGTCTCTTCATCCTTCAGAAACCTCTCAATCTGATGATAAATCTCACTTAAATGTCTGGGATATTTACCAGAAAGCTTTAATGCTTTTAAATATATGTCAAGCAAATCAACTATTTCATCTTCCTGCTCAAACCTGGCAGCCTCCACCAATTAACCAGCTGATATATTATTGTATTGTCACTCATCATTTCAGCATGACTACTAATAATTGCAAGACAGCAATTTCTCGTTCACATTTGCAAACACGCTTTACAGATTTATCTTTAACTTTATAATTATTTATCAGTGTTTTCATTTCAGCACACTGTTTTTCATCAATGTTCCCTCTAAGTGCCATAATACTGACGAGTGTCACGTTCTCCTGTTCCACTTTTGAGATCATTTATAAATTTCCTCCGCCAGCAACAGATTTTTATTCTCAATCACTATAACTGGAGACATATTTATCATTTCAGACCCCATGACTCCTTCCTATGCTGTTATGTCTATCTCAATGCACCCATGTGTTTGTGATCAACTAAAGTGGAGGAATGCATAAATGCAAAAAATGCAAATGACAACAAAGCTAATTATTTCAAAATACAGTTTCAAACTCACTTTTACAGCTCAAATTAGATTAGATTCACTTCACTGTCATTACACATGTTTCAGTACAAGGAACCGAAAATACAGTTTAACAGTTTAAGCTACTACTTTCGATTATTCAATTCTAGTTATACAGTCTTATGCAAAAGTTTAGGCACCCCTTGATAAATAACAGATTTTGGTGATTTTTTATTTGAACAGATGTTAACACAGTTTCTCTTGGAAATGGAAAAAATGCACAATATTTTCTGCAAACAGTGATGCATAGTTACTTCTTATGCCATAAATTGAACAAAAATAAAAAATAAAAACATTATTATGGCATGGTGCAAAAGTTTGGGCACCCTAAGAGTTCCAGAGTCTCAAAGTCTCTCACAAGGTATCAGACCTTAATCAGCTCGTTAGATCTGATGCACAGCAACAGCTGTCATTGGTAAATGCCAATTTCAAAGCTGTACAAATACTTTGACTCTTCAAACCTTGTGCACACACTTGTGGACACCCAGCAACCATGGGTTCCTCTAAGCAGCTGTGTAAGACCCTGAAAATGAAAGTTATTGATGCCCACAATGCAGGAGAAGGCTACAAGAAGATAGCAAAGCGTTGTCAGCTTGCAGTTTCCACAGTAAGAAATGTAATTAAGAGATGGCAGATCAGGGGAACTGTGGAGGTCAAGATGAGATCTGGAAGACCAAGAAAACTCTCGGACAGAACTGCTCGTATGCTGGTCAGAAAGACAAATCAAAACCCCCATTTGACTGCAAAAAACCTGCAGGAAGATTTAGCAGACTCAGGAGTGGTGGTGCACCGTTCCACTGTGCAGCGATGCTTGCACAGACAAGGCCTTCATGGAAGAGTCAGCAGAAGAAAACCTTATCTGCGTCCCCATCATAAAATCCAACGTCTGAAGTATGCAACAGGACATCTACAGAAGCCCGATGCGTTTTGGAAACAAGTGCTGTGGACTGATGAAGTTAAAATAGAACTCTTTGGACACAATCAGCAAAGGCATGTTTGGAGAAAAAAAGGAGCAGCATTTCATGAAAAGAACACCTTGCCAACTATTAAGCATGGGGGTGGATCTATCATGCTCTGGGGTTGTGTTGCAGCCAGTGGCACAGGAAACATTGCACGGGTGGAGGGAAGAATGGATTCCACTAAATACCAGCAAATTCTGGAAGCAAACATCACACCATCTGTAAAAAAGCTGAAGCTGAAAAGAGGATGGCTTCTACAACAGGACAATGATCCTAAACATACCTCGAAATCCACTATGGAA